CATTTTACAATCTCACAAACTGCAGTAGGGTTCCAATTTCTCCCCATCTTCACCAACACTTGTTATTTTTGGCTTTTTTTTTTTCTGATAGTATCTTTCTGTGGAGAAAGAAATGGCAACCCATTCCAGTACTCTAGCCTGGAAAATCCCATGGACAGGGGGGGCCTGGTGGGCTACAGTCCATGGGGTCACGAAAGAGTTAGACATGACTGAAGCAACTTAGCAGCAACAGTATCTTTCTAATGGATGTGAGAAAATACGGCCTTTTGGTTTTGATTTCCATTTCTCTGGTGCTCTGAGGATTAGTGATATGGATCATCTTTTCACACATTTATTGGCCGTCTGTTATCACCTCTGGAGAAACGTCCATTCAAGTCCTTTGTCCATTTTTGAATCAGGTTATCTGATTTTTTTTTCTGTTAAGTTGCAGAATTTCTCTGTATATTCTGGATATTAACCCCTTATCACATATATGGTTTGCAAACATTTTCTCCCAGTCTGTATGCTGTCCTTTCACTGTGGGGTCCTTTCATGCACGAGTTTTAAAGTTTGATGTAGTCCCATTTGTCTAGTGTCTCTTTTGTGGCTCTCCTGTTCATTTTATTTCCTAAGTATCTCCCTGATGCGCTCGAGTCTCTTCTCCACTGCCTCTGGTCTCGTCTATATCACTACCTCTCAACACAACAGCTGCAAGTACCCTTCCCCTTTGCTTTTAGTCTTCATTCCCCACACCTTCCCTCCACCCTGAGTTAATAATATGACACTTTGAAGTGCAGACTAGAATATGTTTTTTTCTTACCTAAAGATCTTCATATAGGTGTGACCCATTGCTTCAGGAGCCCATTGGTCCAAAAGACAATGGATCTTAAGCATAGAAAAATGCATCTTGAACAAATGAATTGTTTTTACATTTATATTCTCTCTGAATACTGTTAGATTTTTTATGACAGAATCAGCTTTGGCATATAGTAGTTATTCAATAGATTGCTGAATGAAGTGAATGAGAAAATGGTTGTTGAATGTTCCTAAGATTATGGTCGTTAAGCCAACAATGACCGTAAATGATAACGTGCAGGGCTGTATGCTGTATTCTTTCCGCGATACAAAGTTTCTCTTTCCATGAAACTTACAATTCATTCATTTAGTCACCAAATATTTATTGATCACTTACTGTGTGGCGGTTACTGTGGCAATGATGGGTATACAGTGCTGTACGATAGACCTGACCTCATGGAGCTTTTGGTTTAGTAGGGAAGACACCCATGAAAGCAAATACATAATTATTTAATTAGAGTTGTTGTAAGGGTTATTAGTGAAAAGCACAGGAATCTATGAGAGCATTTTCTAGAGTGTCCTAATCTAGAGTTAGGGATGGTAGATGTGGAGAGGGGTAGGGTTGGGGAATAAGACATATACACTGCTAAGTATAGCAAAAGTATGTGACAAGTTCCATTAGAATCTCAAGCAAAGCACTAATGAGACTTAGAGAAAGGAGAATCATACTGAACAGAGAAATGTATTCCAGATCCAAAACAACTCTTCTTCAGTGGTGAATCTCTGGGCATCGAGCAAATGCATGCAGCATAGGCAGTAGTCCAGACAAACAAGAGAATGTATGTTTGCCCAATGTCTTCTCCAAGCATCGCTTGGGAGCTTGTCAGAAAAGCAGACTCTTGGGCCCAATTCCAAAACTACTGAGTCAGGAGGACCTGGAGGTCTAACAAGACCCCCAGGTGATTCAGGCAGATCTTATAGATACAAGAGTGAATGAAGTTATCACATCAGAAGACTGTGATACATTTGCACCTCTACCAACAAGAGGAGGTTCTGTTGTGAAGCACTGTACCCCCGAGCGCTTTTTTTTTTTTATCTTTATCAGCTATAGCACACAAAGGAAGTGCATTTGTTAGGTAAAGTTAGTTTCATTATCTTTATTTTTTTTATTATGTGCCTCACTTGTATCTCATTTATTTTTAAACAAATACACTTACTTTTCAGAGCAGTTTTAAATCCATAGCAAAACTGAGCAGAAAATACAGAGTATGTTCTGTCACCGCACACATAAACCTCTTCCCGTTACAGATTTTCTGCCCCACGGTGGTACATTTCTTACAATCCATGAACCTACACTGACACATATTCATCACTCCAAGGTCCACAGATGACGTTAGGGTCCACTCTTGTAGTTGAACAGTCTGTGGGTCTCAACAAACATATAATGACATATATCCATCATTACAGTATTATACAGAGTGGTTTTACTGGCCTAAAAATCCTCTGAAGTAGGTTCTTCATCTGTAACAGGTCCAGCACATGCAGAAGTCACTGGTTGGGTAAAGTCAGTCTTCATTTCAGAGAGAATTTCAAACATTCTTTCAGCTGGGGATGAGACAGACCATGTTTTGAATAAAAGGAAGCAGGTGAGCTCAGAGGAAAGAGGGCCAAGGAAGGGAGAATCTATTTCAAACTCAGCTACTTATGCTACCTTATAAGCCTGGTCCTTTTTGCTCATCAACTTTTAACCACTGCTGTTTCAAATCTGATATTACCTTGGAATTATTTTCTTCTCCTTGAAGTAGTTCAGAAGTTAAAGCTTCACTCACCTTCAATCCAGTTATACAATGAATCAATTCATTTGCTTTGGCTTTTTGAAACTCATTTTCAAAATGAGTACTTTTGAAAGTGAATTTCTGAATGTGTTTCTTCACTCTTGGAAGTGCAATTGTGAAGCATTTTTGTGTGTGTGAGCATTCATTATGTATTATATATTTTAGCTGAGTTTTAATTTTCAGCTTATTTTTTAAAAGTTCTTCAAGTTTAAGTCTTAATTCAAGATACAAGGAGCACTAACATGCACGTGTCCCTACCAGATTCGCCTGTGTTCAGGGATAGTTCATTCAATCTTCCCAACTCTGAGAGGTAGGTCTGTATTATCTATGCTGAAGAGAGTGAAGCTCAGAGAAGTCAAATAACTTTCCCATCACTTCCAAGGGCCAGAAACAGTCTGACTCCAAGGACCACAGTCTTTCCACTGCAGCAAACTGTTTAGTGCTTACAGATCCCATTTTAAGGAGTTCCTATAAACCAATAAGTTATGTATTTGCTGAAGATGCTATCTGCTATATAACGCGGGTCTTTCTTTCCCTTGCAAAGGAATTTTCCCTACAAAGGGACTGGTTGTGTGGTAGACAACCAGTCAGCTCCCAGTGCTACCTAGCCATCCTAGGGAAGAACTATGAGGGTTTGTAACAAAGCAGATTTAAGAAGAATACAAACGATACCCAACTGGAGGACTCAAAAAGGAAACTGCAATATACAAAGTGTTAGTTGCTCAGTTGCATCTGACTCTTTGTGACCCCATGGACTGTAGCCCACAGGCTCCAGAAGTCCATGGAATTTTCCAGACAAGAATACTGGAGTGGTTAGCCATTCCCTTCTTCAGGCGATCTTCCTGACCCTGGGATTAAACCCGGCCTCCTGCATTGCAGATAGTTCTTTACTATCTGAGCCTCCAAGGAAGCCCTTAACATACTGTGTTTATGTTGATAGTATTCTGAACCAATTTTTCACTAAACCTTCTACTGTAACAAAGTATTAAAATTTGTTTACAAAGTTTCCACTGCTGCTGAATCTAATCAGTTCAACTGTTTTTAAAATTAACATGAGGAAAATGAGCTCACAAAATGCCCAAAAGTCATCACGTTTATACCTTAATACTAAGTCATCCAAAACTCTTGGGAATATATACTTGACAACTCTCTCATACAACAGTAAAAGGCATTTTTTCCTCACTAAAAAAAATCCATAAATAATGTTATAGTCCTGACTTGGAAGCATCTCTGCACTTACACATGAAAAAATACAATGGGTATAATATAATGTTTTTATACAGAACTGTCTGTGTGTATGTATGTGTGTGTTTTCAGGAAATTAACTGATATATCACTATCTCTCCTAAAATGTGTGTTTCCAAGATTTTATGAGAGGTAGAAGGAGTTTTCATCGTTCAGATTTCAACTAAGAATTTGATTTCCCAATTGTTTTGCTAATAGAAAATGACAGCTACTTAATGACCTGAAAATTCATTAAAAGAGCAAGATAAACACTTTAAAAAAAAAGTCAACTAAAATTGAAGAAGATAATGAAAGTAACATTACTCCTTAGTTTATGAGAAATGTGCTATATTAGTCACTTGTCTAAGACATTTCAGTAATTAATAATAACAATAATACAACCAGCATGGCAACTTTAATAAGAATACACTGTAGCTCTCATCTACTGAGTAGCTACTCTGTGCAAGGTGCTTAGACCCATTGTCTCTTTGAGGTTCTACCAGAGCCCCATGAAGGAAGCATCTCTAGAATAGCGACACAAGGGGCTTAAAGAGAGATTAGCTTGTCCACGTCCCGTCCACGTGGAACTCCAGCTTCCTCGGGCTCAAGTATATACTCAGAAGCACTGCTACCTTGTCTTTCTTATAGTTAGCCTTAAAACATGCTCTTTTGAAACTTTCAAGAGGAAAAATGTGTATTATGTGGCAATCTGTTTACATCAGTGACTCCCAGTGGGCTATGTGTTCGTGGTTTGGGGCAGGTTCCTCTTCTTGAATCTTGGCTGGGCTCAAGACTGGCCTTAATCAACAGGAGATAGAAATGATGCTGTGTCAGGTCCGGGCCTCAGTCTTAAGAAATCTGGCAGCTTCTGCTTTTGTGCTCTTGAGAGATCTGACCCGTCACCTAAGAAGGATGGCTACCCACCTTGCAGAGCCCCCATGGAGCAAAAGAAAGGCCCAGCCAAACCAGCGCTCCCACTGCCTCCTGCCCCTACCCGTGACCTCCACGGCACCAACAGCGTGAGTGCGAAGCTCTGTCTTGGATGCTCCAGCCCAGGCTGCTCTTCATCTCCTTTAAAATATGTGCCTTCATGACTTTGGGGTCACAACGGAGAACAGCAGCGGAACTGCCCAGCCGAGGCCCGCTCAACTCACAGAATCCCAAGAAGACAGGATGGTTCTAATTTAATCCACTAAGTTTGAGGGTGCCTTGTTCCATAACAATAACTGAAATAAAAATTCACACCTGGAACTGAGGTACTGATGGAACAAAAAATCGAGAACATGAGTCCTTGGCTTTGAGCCCGGATGAGGCTTAAATCTGTCAGAATGATTTCCTGGCAGTCACAGAACCAGGAAAAGGCTGAGTTAGGACTTGAATCTAGGTCTCTCTCTCTCTTTTCGTAACACTTCATTAGCTTAAGCCAAGAGACCACTTCTCCCCACTGCTGAGCAAACGCAATTGTAGTCCTCGATGTCGGTGTCACACAGGATTCACTTCAGCATTTACTTTTTTTCTTTGCTTGCACAATGCTACACTTTCCTCATGGAAATCACATGATTCCTGAAGACAGGAAGTGGTTCCTTTATGTCTTTTGTTTTTCACATAGTAGGAAAACCTGGAAACTAACACAACATTGTAAATCAATTACACTCTAATAAAAATTTTTAGGAAAAAAAAAAACAGAGACCTAGGGATCAAAAAAAAGAAGAAAATATGGGGGCACAAAAGCATCCCCAGCCCCTATGCATTTTGCATCAGCTGCATAAGGCTGTTCACCGCTCTCCATGTAGTTTGGCATCTCTGAACCTATAAAAAGTGCCCTTGGTGCCTCTGAGGCTGTGCTCTCTTTGTTCACCTAAGAATTCCTCACCCTTTGAGGGTGGTCACACCCTCCTTCAGGGGATCTTCCCAACCAGGGATCAAACCCAGATCTCCTGCATTTCAGGCAAATTCTTTACCAGCTGAGCTACCAGGGAAGCCCCATTTTCTGGATTTTAAAGCAAATCTTAGACAGTATATCATTTTACTTATATACATGACAGCAAATATCTTCATCAGATAAGACTGTCACAAGTTTTGCTTTGTTACTTTTTTTTTTTTTTTTTCAAAAAATCAGAATCCAAATAAGGTCCACACATTGCATTTAGTTGATAAGGGACATAAGTCTCTCTTAATCCTCAGCCTTGATTGCATATTTGAAATCACCTGGGGACCTTTCTGTCAACTCAGAGGTTCTTATTTACTTGGTCTGGAGTGCAGCCTACACACTGAGAGGGTTTTTGTGGGTTTTTTTAGTATTTATTTAGCTGCGCTGGGTCTTAGTTGTGGCACTCAGGATCTTTGCTGGTGCTTGGGGGATCTAGTTCTCTGATCAGGGATTGAAACCCAGGTCCCTTGCATTGGAAATGTGGAGTCTTAGCCACTGAACCACCAGGGAAGTCCCCACATTGTAGTCTGTTTTTAAATGTCCTATTTCTCTCACAAGATATTGTGGAATCATTGTGATCCTTTGCTGAACCAGAGGACATGTCAATTAATGACAATGGTAGCATAGTCTGAATCACAATTTTAGTTACCAATGGTTTCTGTATCAAATTACCACAAATTTAGCAGCTTAAAGCAATGCAAATTTATTACCATACAGTTCTGGGGATGAGGAGTCCAAAATGGGTCTCACTGGCTAAAATCAAGATGTCAGTAGGACTGCCTTCCTTTCTGGAGGCTTTAGGGGAGATTACACTTCTAGCTCTTCCAGCTTCTAGGTTGCCAGTTTTCTCTCGTTGTAGCCACGTGTTCTGGGAAACAAACTCACTCAGAAGGACAATGTAGATAGTGGAGGGCAGTCTATTACATCGGCGAGCCCAAGGCAGAGTCTCCTCTTAGCCAAGGACCTGGACCAGTTTTTGTGAAAATCTTTTATACCCTAAGTGTGTAAGTTTCCCTGAAACTAGTCTGAACAAAGGATCAAATGCCTTAAGCCTAGGTAGTTAACAGTGGACAATTATCAATAGGCCTGTGGTCATACCCCAATAGGCATAATAGAATGTATGATTCTATTCAGTTACACAGATAATTAGAGTATTCTTTTAGGTGGTGGAGAGCCCTGGGACTCCTCCTTTTGGGGGCCTGGTTTTCCAGTTGGTGTGTCGTTTCCATAGATATTGGGCATATAGCTCAAAGTCCAGAGACTTTGCCCCTCGCAGACTGAAATGGAATCAGTTTCTATTTCCCCAACCAAGGGAGGCATTGCTTCACCACCTTCCAATACAGGAAGGTCAGGCAAAAGATAGAGCCTGTTCTGTTTCCTCCTTCACCTTAGCTTGTGATCCCTTCTGTCTTCAAAACTAGCCACGGATGGTCAAGTGTTCCTTCACTCTGGATGTGATGCACAGCATCATGGCCTAAATCTCACCAAACCAAGCCTTGTAGTGTTCAGTTAATTACACATAGCCCGCAAAGCCTGGTACCCGCCTCCCCCCATCAAACGGCTACCCTGAGCTCTGGTGTGTTCTGTCTGCAGAGGCTAGGTTTCGGTGATTCCATTTCCTTCTGCAAATGACTGTCAGAAGGAAATTCTTGAGGACTAGTACAGTAGAGAGGAGATGCTTGACAGTGAGATTTTTGTTCTCAGACCCAGAGGGTCTCCAGAGGGTGGAGCTGCTAGAAGGACATGGGGCTGTGGTTAACATTTTCCTGACCTTCCTGTATTGGAATGTGGGGAAGCTACGCCTACCTTGGTTGGGGAAATAGAAACTGATTCCATTTCAGTCTGTGAGGGGCAAAGATGAGAGTTCTTGTGGCCAGAGAAGCAGGAAAGACAAGCCACTAAGCTTGACAGTTTCCTGTGTCAAAAGTGTTCATTTCAATGTCACAACTCTTCAAGTCTTTTGTTGAAATAGGAAAATGAGCAATTACAAATTTTAGGCCATTCTTACAAGTGGACAAAGAGTGAAGTAAAATGATCCACTTGTGCCCTGATTATGAAATCTCAAGGTGTGTATGTCTATCAGAAAACAGAAACCAGTCTCAGTATTCTTTTCTCGGTAACAGGACATTAAGTAAACAATGATTCATAGTTACAGTATCTCTCAAGGTTAATACACAGTTCACAGGTCAGAGTAACAGCCTCTGAAGCCCAGGTGTCTTGAAGGATTCCTTTGCTAGCAAAAGAAATCTGTAAGAGCAGTTTTATGAAATGGAACACTTTCTGTTTTAATGCACCTGTAAGGGAGGAAAGAGCATTTTCTGCTATTTTGTTGAGGTAATTTTCAGTAGTAGTTAGAGAGGCTTGCTGTTTTCTACACCAAGCACTTGATTTCCACCGAGAAAGGACTTGGCAGGTGTGAGAAGTGTAACCTTAAATATACAAAACAAAGGATAGGGTGGGGTGGTGATTTTAAGGTATAGTTCCGGCCGAGGCAGAGAAGGAAAGACGATCTCAACAGAAGTAGGTTACCTTTACTCAGGCAAGGAGGGGCAACAGTCAGCCTAATGACCATGCTGAGTGCCAAAAGGGATCAGGGAGGCTTCATATTTATAGGGAGGTTTGTGGAAACGATAAGGAAAACATTAATCAGGTGGGATATTTTGAGTATTCTTTAGTTGAGATGACATTTGTAGTTGGGCAGGGGATGATAAATCTTCTGGGCAGGTGTAGGGTGTGGAAGGTTTCTGGACAGATAGATGCAACCGGCCTGGAGCATCAGGGTGGAATTAAAGTTCTGTTTCGTTTTCTCCGAAGTCGGATGACTCAGCAAGGGCCTTTGAGACTGTTGTTTTCTTTTCTCGGCCCAAAAGACTCCTTCAGTGATTATTGTCCAGTGAATATGGGGGCAAAGACCTCCATCTGGAGTATGCAGAATTTCAGACTCTATACCACTAATTCTTTCGGAGATATAGTTCCTATGGGAAAAAACTTACCAATAGCAGGCACATAAATAGCCTACTGATTTGTGAACTAATTATATTACAGTAAGGCCCCTACTTTCTGGTTGGATCCGTTGCGATGGCATCACCAATGCAATGGACATGAACTTGGGCAAACTTCAGGAGACGGTGAGGGACAGGGAGGCCTGGGTGCTACAGTCCATGGGGTCGCAGAGTCGGACATGACTGGGTGACTGAAAAACAACAAAGGCCCCTATTTACAAATCTTCAAGTTTCAAACTTTCCAAGATGTAAATGTGTATTCACAAGTTTCAGTGAGTTCACGTGTCTGACATATGTTTGTCATATGTGTTGTCAACTACAAACTGGCACTTAACAAGAGCATTGCCAATCAGTTTTCATTCCAATCCCAAAGAAAGGCAATCCCAAAGAATGCTCAAACTACCGCACAATTGCACTCATCTCACACGCTAGTAAAGTAATGCTCAAAATTCTCCAAGCCGGGCTTCAGCAATACGTGAACCATGAACTTCCAGATGTTCAAGCTGGTTTCAGAAAAGGCAGAAGAACCAGAGATCAAATTGCCAACATCTGCTGGATCATCGAAAAAGCAAGAGAGTTCCAGAANCATCCTGAGAAAGTCAGAGCAGTCATCGACCCTTTTCCTTTGAGACTGGGCTCCCGAAGGCCTGAGAAGGGAAATAGGTAGATAGTTAGAAGTAAGCAGAGTATCAACAGGGGCCAAAGAATTGGTCCTAAAAGTAAACAAAGTGAGGAATGTGATAACCCAAGGACAAAAGAGCAGATGAAACCAATCTGGGGCTTGGAACGCAGGAACAGAAAAACCAGGCCCTTATTGTCCTTCCCTCCCCCATGTTGTAACTATTAATGGACTTCAGGTCCTCCTGAGCAGTGTGACCTGCCTCCCCTCCTACCCCACAGGGAGAAGGTATTTGCCTTACTCTTCCCCCCACCCACTATATGTGCCTCATCCAATCAGCAAATGACCCACAAGACCCCTATCCCACTCTTTGTACCCTGGGAATAAAAGTGGACTAAGGACCCCTTTTCAATGTCCCTTCTCCCTTGAGCTGGCCAGCTGTTCTAACAGCGCCTCCCACTCTAATAAACTTTATTTCCCTCTCATTCTGTCTCATATTTGGAAATTCTTTACCAACCCAGGCCTGAACTTCAACAGGAACCACTTCCAGTTTGTTCCAGGGACAGGCCTCCCCTCTGCTTTAGCTCCTCTCTGAGGTACCTAGACGATAGTGTCAACTACAAATGCACTTACCAAGAGCACTGCCAAGGACTGAACAACAAGGTCATTTGCCATCTGCCTCTATGGAGACTGAACCCCATGCCGCTATAGCTGTTGACCTTCAACACCGCCTGAGGGACTTAAGGGTGGAGTTATGCACTCTGTGCTCCAGGGAATCAGGTCTTTAGCTATAGTTGGATGTTTTTAGGAACAGATTTTATGATCTCAATCCTTGCATCTCCTTATATCTAGAGAAGCATTAAATCCCTTCACGGTGACATCAGGCCCTCATGACTAACAAAAAACCTTTTGTAAATTGAGTGCTTCATGGTATTGAACTCCCCTTTCACCAAAACCTCATATATTGACTTTCCCCCACTGCCGCTTTGAAGCAGTCTCTCATTGCTATCTGAGATGCTGCTTCAGATGGCTGCAGACCTCATTTTGTCCCAAATAAAACTTAACTCACAGCTCTCAAGTTGTACACCTTTTTTTGGTCAACAGTGAGCATCCTCTCCGAGTGGTTGTGTTTTGGTGTACCTAACTGCACAGTACTGTGCAGAGGACGGTAGCAGAGTATCTTTATTTCAAGCCCAGGATGTCAGGAAATAAGCGTAAAAGCAGCATGATGGAGCTGGTACTGTAAGATTAAAAATGTTTTATTTTTTGTGTTTGGTTGCTTTTTATGTATTATTTGTGTGAAAAGTATTTACACCTATTTCAGCACACTACCATATAGCTGATTGTGTTAGTTGGGTACCTAGACTAACTTTGTTGGACTTACAAATTGGACTTAAGAAATGGAAATCTTTCGTATGCAAGGGACTTACTGTATGATAAAATATTTTTGCTTATTTTCTCAAAATCATTCATGTATGTAGTTTTTAATAGCATTATTTGGGTATTTTTTACAAACAACAAACTGCACATATTTAAATACTTGTTTATTTATTTATCTGGCTGTGCTGGGTCTTAGTAGCGGCATGTGGGATCTATACTTGTGGCATGGAAACTCTTATTTGCAGTATGTGGGATCTATCTCCCGGACCAGGGATTAAGCCTGGGTGCCTGCTTTGGGAACTCAGAGTCTTAGTCACTAGACCACCAGGGAAGTCCCCTGCACATATTTAATGTGTAAAATTATATAAATTTTGACATATGAAACCATCACTGCAACCAAGATATCGAACATACATACCATCCTCTTTGCAATCTCTCTCTCCCACTTTTCCATACTCTGCTACCATCTGCAAGAAACAATTGATTTGCTACCTGTCACTACAGAAGAGTTTGCACTTTCTAGACTTTTATACAAATGGAATCAAATATGCACTCCTTTTTTGTCTGGCTTCTTTCACTCAGAATAATTGTTCTGAGAATCACTCATGCTGTGGGTACCAATAGTTCTTTCCTATTTTATAGGGAGCAGTAATTCATCATATGGATAACTAAAACTTGTTTCTGTTGAAGGGCATTTGGGTTTTCCAGTTTATGACTTTTACAAATAAAAGTGTTATGAGCATTTGTGTACAAGTCTGTGTTTGAATATGTGCTTTCATTTCTCTTGGGCAAACACTTAGGAGCAGAACGACTGGGTCTTACAGTAAATGTATGAAAATATCAAACTGTTTCCAAAAATGGTTGTACTTTAAGTTCCTACCAGAAGTATATTGAAGGAGGAAACAGAACAGGCTGCATCTTGAAAGCAGGACTCCATCTTGGGCTGGACTGTGGACTTTGAGCCCTATGCCCCGTATCTATGGAAACGACATATCAATGGAAAACCAGACCCCGCCCCCACCCCACCCCCAAGGAGCCTCAGGACTTGTACCTAGACTCCCCCGTGGCCTAAAACAACATGCTAATTATCTCTGTACCAGAACAAAGTCATAAATCCCATTATGCTTATCAGGGTATGACCACAGGCCTATTGATAAATGTCCACTGTTTAACTATCTAGGTTTATGGCACATGAATCATGGGTTAACTTTGATCGTATCTCTCTTACCTTGTCCAGACTAGTTTCAAGGAATTTGGGGAGGTGGGTTTGAGCACGTACACTTATGGTCTATAAGGTTTTCACAAAAACTGGTTGGGGTCCTTGGCTAAGAGGAGACTCTGCCTTGGGCCCACCGGGGTAATAAACGGCACTCAACTATCTGCATTGTTCTTCTGAGTGTGTTTTCCGGAACACATGGCTACAACAATATGAGAGTTCCCTTTCCTCCATAACCTTGCAGACACCTGGTATGGTTTCATTTTCATCATTCCAATGGGTAGGTAGTTTTAATTGGTATTTCCCTAATGACTAATGATGCTATCTCATTACAGTTTTTAAAAAGATATTTAATTAATTAATTAATTTTTGACTGTACCACACAGCTTGTGGGATCTTTAGTTCCCTGACCTATGCCCCCTGCAGTGGCAGTGTGGAGCCCTAACCACTGGACTGCCAGAGAATTCCCTCTTTTATCCATTTTTAAATTGTTTTCTTATTATTACCTTTCAAGAGTTCTATATATGATTGAGATACAAGTTCTTTATCATATAATCAATTACACATAGTTTCTTCTAGTCAAGGGCTAATATTTTAATTCTCTTAAGAGTGTCTTTCACTGTTAAGGAGACTTTTTTTTTTTAAAGAAGCATTTTTAAAGTCCAATAAATCAATTTTTTTTTTCTTTTATGTTTTGTGCATTTAGTGTCAGCTCTAAGAATTGTTTGCTGAACCCAAGGTAAAAATTCTCTGTTTTCCTCCCTAAGTTCGGAAGTTGAGAGATTAAATATACAAATGGATACTGGCCAAACCATAGATCAAAACAGACCTCTGATTACAGCGCTCAGTTGTGACTCAAACCTGATTCACAACTTTGACTTCCCAACCTAACCACAACCCCTGCAGCAACTGGTCAAACGTGGTCAGGACTTGATCAAGAGCTGCTAAATTGCTTCCCCCACTTCCAACTCTGGCCCAACCAAACAAAGCCAGATAAGGTCTCCAAACCAGTGACATGAGATAACCCACTTCCAGGAAGCCCACTTCCAGCTTCCTTAAGTGAAAGTCACTGGACAGTACCATGGAATTCTCCAGGCCAGAATACTGGAGTGGGTAGCCTTTCCCTCCTCCAGGGGATCTTCCCAACCCAGGGATCAAACCCAGGTCTCCCGCATTGCAGGCAGATTCGTTACCAGCTGAGCCACAAGGCAGCTTCCTTAGAACAACCTCAAACCAGGTCATCGCTGAGCCCTCTCTCTCTCTTTCACTATAAATCTTCCGAGTTTCTGCCATCACAAACAAATGATGGTGTCTGGTTCTCTTGATGTACTGAGCTCTGAGTAAACAGAGCTCTACTTGTTATCATTTAGGCAGTCTTCATTTATTTCCACATGATTTTAGCCTTTACATTTAGGTCTACGACACATTTTAAGTACACTTCTGTAAATGATGTAAAGACTACGAATTGAAGTTCCTTTCTTTGGCATGTAGCTATCCAATGGTTCCAGTCCTATTTGCTGGGACAACTGGATTGCGTTTAGTAAATGATGAAACACACCTCAACCTGTCAGCCTGGTTGTTCCCAACAAATAGTCAATAATTTGTTAGTTCCAAACAAACTAAATGTGTGTGTGTATATGATATATTTTTATTACATAAAAATAATACATTAAATATATAATATATTTTTTTCCCTCACAAAGATGGGAACTGCTTGGATCAGAGAAAGCTAAGGAATGTGTTCCACTGCAACAAAGATAAATGATCAACTCAATCAGATTTGCTCCTTTCAAAACTTGGGCTATAAAATAATCTGAGATTGCCCAGGTCTAAGTGAGAGAGGAAAGACAAAGCACCAAGAAAAGCCATATGCATCAGCGCACCCTAGAAACACTCTGACCCTGAAAGCTTTCCAGGTCCAAGGAGAATGTTGCAGAAACTGTTACCAAAATCACAGCAGAAAAATCACCTCTTGACCATTTTTCTGGTGGCCATGGGATCATGTCAGACTTGGCTTCTCCACCTATCTTCCACACTTAATTCCTGTATGAATCTGGGCTCAAGTTCTGTGCGAAAAAACGAAGTGAGCCAACTTCAGAAGAGTGGCCTCAAAATAGTAATGTGCTTGCCTTTCCTGTGCTTGTCCTATTCTAATGGTGTGTCTTCCTATATTTTAGGAGAACATTTCAGGGAAAGAACAGGACAATTGCTGAGAGTATGAGTCTCAAGACTGATTTGAAAATGAGTTTTGCTGTGTATGTTTTAAACACAGGAAAAGTCACCCCTAGGAATGAGCACAGGAGAGGAATGAACACTCAACTGCAGAAGAAAACAGAAAGAAAGCATCATGCATGCAACATCTGCCTGCTGAGTTCTGGAGGGGGAGTGACCAAGGCTGAGACTGAGAACAAAGTCTGCACTTATGAAAGCCGTGGAGTATGACTGTATCTGCCTTCAACTTTCAAAAGGCTGTTCAGATGAGTTGCACCCGGGAGATGTCTTTCTGATTTCTGTGAAATCATGGACCATCAGAGGCCTCTGTTACAGGACTTACTACCTCTGCTCCTCTTTGAACCACAGACAGTGAATATCTACTGTTGTCATGAATTCTCAGGAAGCACTGGCCTTCCTCAAAGGCGGGATTCAGACTCTTACAAATGTTCCAATTTGTTAAGTCCATAGAAAGCTCAGGTTCATGTACAAAATGAAGGTAACACAACACAGAGGCTTCAGCTGCTGCTTTATTTGATAGTGCTCACCACCTTCAGTGCCTGGAAAAGCTCAACCTTACTTCAAGTCCACACAGGTTGAATTTAAAATGTTCTCAACAAAGGAGTCACAATGCTTTATGGAGTATCTCCTCAGGTGTTTCTGCATTTATAAACACTGAGGGAGGGTACATATTTTTTGGTGTGCATAAGACCCATCGAGTCACTGTCCCTGGAAGTGAAAAGAGAAACTAGATCTTACCGCCATGAGTGCTTCTGTTGATCACTGTATTAGGAAGTTACCAGTCCATCACTTCTGAACCCAGAGGTGTGAGATAAAATATGCCATCAAACTCCTTGAAGTGCACAATCAGGAGGCCCTCCATGGATAGATATGTCTGTGCAGTCGAGGTGGAATGATTCTGCTGTGTAGCGTTTCTGCCTAATTCCAGGCAGGTGAAGGACAACCATGTGAGAGAGCTGGCCACAAAGAACAGGCAGCATGGATGGTGTAAGAAGACTGAGGTCAGGGAACAAAATCAACAGTGGTTTTCATGTTTGCTGAGGTGGGAGGAGGTGGGGAAGGAGGAAGGGGAGGTTATTATTTTAGTATCTGGGGAAAGAGAGGTACCTTCTGATTTGCAGATGCCTGATTTATTAATTCCTATAGACACAGCAGGTGGGTCATTGCCCCTCTTTCCCTCTGCCTATCTTGAATATCCTGCATTCCACAAATAGATGCCCTGGCTTAGCAGACCTACTAGGAGCTGGTGCAGAAAGCTGTTTAACAGTTTGTTATCTTCACACCCTTTCTTGTGTTCACATTCAAGTGTCTTGCTTCCCTTTCTGATTATGAATTCACACTTACTTATTCAGGAAATTCCTTTTTCACAGGTGCATATGTGTCCTCTCTAATTTACTGCCACTTTCCCCTGCCTCCCCATTCTTATAATGGCTCCATAATCAAATCTTTTTCACAACCCCACTTCCATTTTTGAACCAATATACAATCAAACCTCTCTTTCTTCACTTTTCCTTTCAAAAGTCATGACTTTTTGATGTTAACCATGACTAGAGACCAAAAAGGTGATATGCATGCACCTTGGAAAAGGAAATTCTGAGATAAAATCAGACAAAAGAAAATCAATGGTAACTTCTTTAAAAGTCCAGAAAAACAAAGTCCATTTCAGGGTCTTCTTAGAAATCTATATTCATTTACCTTCACTTCTTCTAGTCATAATTTTTAAAAATATATTTAGAGATATGCCAACATGTACACATAGATTAACTGCCCTCAATGGTCCCAAACAGAAAACAACCAAATTATTTATTGATACAACAATGGATAAATATAGTATACTCATATGATGGAATATTTTTCAGCAATGAAAATGAAATAGGTCTAGAGTAGGATAATTAAATTGTTTCAAAATACCACTAGAGGGTTAAAGAAAGAGAGGGAATTTTAAGGGGGTCTGGGAGACTGTTCTAAGGTAATGACCACTCAAGAAAAGAATCCAGTAAGCTAGCAACAATCTACTCTACCTTGAAGTGAGATCAGGTGCATCTAAGCACTAGACACACTCAAGCCACAAGACCTTACAGTTAAAACACAAGACAACAGACATGGGGTCTGAATCTTGTTCCATGAAGTCAGAAATGCTGAAGAGCAGCATTTCTACATTTAGCTAAGACAGGAATAAAGATGAAAGGAGATAGAAACCAGGTAAAAGGGGACTTTATACTGAAACCTGAGATGAAATACCATATTTTAGAACATGTTACCACACTTTTGCTAATATATACGATCTGAATAGCACCCTAACAGTCCTGGTTATATCATACAGGGATGGAGGAGAAATTAACTATATAAGCCTGCAACAGGGGCAGGGTAGGCATGCAGTTGTTAGCGCTCGACCCTTAGCCAGAGGTCCCACTCCACTAGCAGTCAGCCTCGCAGTGGTCCTGGCAGCAGAGAGTGTGGTGAAAGG